GTTTCAGTTGAGTGATGAAGTTGGAAACCACATTGCAAGGTGATAAAGAAGTGAGAGGAGAAAAATATGGAAGAAATAATCTTAGACAGTCTTTTATAGGAATTTGACTGTGAATGAAGAGGAATAGGCTATAGCTTGAATAGATGGTATGATCAAATGACGGTGTTTTAAGGACAGAGGAAAAGTGGGTATGATTGTAGGCAATAGATAGCTTTCTTCCTCCCTTGTGTCTCCTCTTAATAAGAGTTTAGACCCAGAGCTAAGTCCCAGGTCCTCAAAGACACCATTCATTCCTTTCCATGATCTACAGTTATGGAAGAACTTCCTGGGGATGGTTGTATAGACAGACTGGACATGAACACTTGGTTGATTTTTTTTTATGAGTTTAAGTCAAACATTTGTAAATCATCTCCTATGTGAAGAGCAACATGCCAGGCATGGAGAAAGATAGAAAGTTTAAGACAGATACTATCCTGCCTTCATAGAGCTTACAGATTGGTTATGGGTATGATAAAAGAAATAATTGCTATTTAAAATACAACAATACTATAGGGTCAGTGACTTCCATGCAAGTCTTCCCTATAACAAATCATCTTTTTTTTTCATCAGCTCTCATTCCCGTCACCTCTTATCACAGAATTAACAACATCAGAAGTTCTCTCATTTAGCAGTCCATCTTTTTAATGATCCTCTACCAGGCATTTCAGTCACTATTAAGTAATTCCCCTCAGAGGAGGAGCTAAGCTTTCTGAATAACAAAGGATTTTGATAGAAGATTCATTAGAACTTATCTGTGTGAACCATATTCATATATGACTCAGTATCTGATCAAAGTTACATACTCAGCCACATCTTTTAGCATCTACTAGTTTTTTCCACATTGGAAAAGCTTTATACAACATGACTTGGTTTACTCAAGACTTTTTCATACCAAAACAGCAAATACGAGGTCAAAAAGCATGAATATTATAGAGTCAACATTTTAATTGTTTTTATTATGAAAATTTTAAAAAGATGAAGCTTAGAACTAGATCATTTGGTTTTTCTCTTCTAGTCTCCTCCCAGTTCTAACTGCCTCCATCATTTAATGGCCAGCATTCTCAAAAACCAGAAGTTGGGTTCAACACATTCAAACCTCAGTTCAATCTTCTTGATGGTCTTGGCCTTTTTTTGGGGGTGGGGCTGGGAAATTGGCTTTATCTAACCATGAGAGGGACTGTGCTTCTGGTCATAGTACCCTTTTTTCCAAGCATATTTGGCATTACTTGTACTGTATAGTTTTTGTGAAGGTGGTACTTGTCATACTTGCAATAAGTTTTGTGGTTTGGGGGAGGTTTATCATGATTACAACACACTATTATCAAGAAGAGGGTCCATTTTTCTACTTTCTACAATCTCCAATAAATTAGGTGGCCATAGTAAACTGAGGGTCTGCATTCTATGAATGTGAGAGGTTATTCAGAAAGGAAGGTTATAGATGTAGGATTAGATGGAGCCTTAGGTTGTTTTATTTTAAAAAAAAATTCTGAGCAATACAAGGTGTCCCCCAAAACTCTTCATGCCATTTTAAGCTATTAAAGCTCAATACATTCTGTATTTAATTATCCTCTAGTATACGTGTAGAACCCAGCCAGTATGGAGTTTAACTATATAGTTGCCTGGAGCTACAACATTTAGTGACATGAGAGGCTTCTAAGCACATGTGCACCAAAGGGACACTGATGAAAGAAACCATTTGGTTGGTAGTTTGTGTACAGTGCCACTTGGTGGATAACTCAGATATAACATGTCTTTATCACTGGTTAATTACCACAGATAGATAGATATTCTTTGTGTAAGTTTAAGAAAGGATCGACATGTAGTTATTAAGCACTTACCATGTGCCAGGCACTATGCTAAGCACTTTACAAATATCTCATTTGATCCTTACAACAACGCTGGAAGGTAGGTCTATTTTACAATTAAGGAAACTGAGACTGATTTGGCCAGGGTCACAAAGTTAATAAGTGTTCGAGGCTAGAACTTAACTCAGGTTTTCCTTTCTCCAGGTCCAGTGTGCCATATACTATGCTGCCTCAGTGGACCATTTACACCAATGTCCCAAGTATAACATAGGTATTCAGTAAGGGTCACATGTAGCCTACGCCCTTGTCTTATATTTTCTTAAACAGTGTCAATTCTTTTAAGCAAGCAATACATTTCTTGAATAATCTCTTTATTCAAATGATAGCAGCCTGAAGAAATTACCAAGGTAGAGGAACTGAGGTGTGTGTGTGTATGTGTGCACATGTGCACATGCATAGACATATAATTCTCCATATATAGCTATAATTTCTATACACACATGTACATATAGATGTGTGTATATATACACATATGTGTGTATATATGTATATATGTGTGTAGGTATATATATGTATGAATACACACACACACACACACACATTCACATACATATATTCCTGTCCACGTCTACTACCCAGGAAGGAGAACTGGTTACAATGAAACTAAAGTAGACACAAGTATGGAGATGGAAAGAGTTCATAATCAAATCAAATAAAGGACAGACAATCACAGATGATAAAATGAACAATTTTGGTTACACAAAATTAAAAAGTTTTTGCACAAATAAAATCAATGTAGTTCAAATTATAAGGCAAACAGTTAACTGGGGGAAAACTTTAAAACTTTTAAGTTTTTCTGATAAAGGTTTTATATCCAAAAAATATACAGAACTGATTCAAATTTATAAAACAAAAGCCATTCCATAATAGATAAATGGTGAAAAAATATGAACAGGGAGTTTTCAAAGAAAGAAATGCAAGATAGAAACAATCATATAAAAATGCTCCAAATCGGGGCAGCTAGGTAGTGCAGTGGATAGAAAACCAGCCCTGGAGTCAGGAGGACCTGAATTCAAATCCAGCTTCAGACACATAACACTTACTAGCTGTGTGACCTTGGGCAAGTCACTTAACTCCATTTGCCTCATCAAAAAAACAAAACAAAACCAAAAAAGCTCCAAATAACAAATGATTAGAGAAATCCAAATTAAAACAACTTTGAGGTTTCACTTCATGCCCATCAGATCAGTAAAGCCGACAAAAAGAAAGAAAATGACAATTGTTGGAAGGTCTATCTGAAAATACACACATTAAATGTACTGTTGATGTACTGCAATTTGGAACCATGACCAAAAATTTACTACTGTACATACATTTTGACCCAATTATACAATTAAGTAGGCGTTTATTCCAAAGAGATCAGAGAAAGAGGAAAGGGACTCATTTGTATAAAACTATTTATAGCAGAGTAGTGGCAGAGAAGTGGAAACTATCAGTTTGGGAATGACTGAACAAATGGTATCTGAATATAGTAGAATACTTGTGCCATAAGAAATGACAAAAAGGATGGCTTTACAGAAAACTAGGAAGACTTGTGCGAAGTGAACAGAACCAGGAGAACCATTTATATTATAATGAGTGTTGTGGTAAAGATACACAACTGAAAAAGACCTAGGAACTCTCATCAATGCAACAACCAACCACAGTTCCAGAGGACTGATGATGAAGTATGGTACTCATCTCGTAAAAGACTCAAGTTGGAGAATAAGATATGTTTTCAGACATGTCTAATGCGAGGATTTGTTTTGTTATGTTATGCACATTTGTCACATAAGTCTTTGTTTTTTCACCCTGTGGGGATAGGGTAGCTCTCCAAAAAAGGAAAAAATAAAGGAGGTAAAGAGGCTTTTTTGATGATTTTTTTAAAATGTACAAAAGAGAACAAAAGGAAGTCTGAAAGGACCACAGTTAAGCAGGACAGCTTTAAAAGTTACAAACTGAAATTATTATATATTCAAAAAGAAAATCAAATTGTACATAATAGACTTCCAATTTCACATATAATTTTCTTTTTCTGTTCTACTATATAATATAGCTGTATTTGTTTTATTTGGTGTTTGTTAAATTTTTAAAAATCTAAAAAAGAGGAAATTGAATCCACAGGAGGCTACTCATTGCTTAGACCTTTAAGGATTTAATTATTGTTAAAGAAGAATTTGAGAAAGTCAAGCAACTGGACTCTGTAAAGCACTTGTATTAGCTATAGAAATGTTGGTTTAGTAAATTAAAGAAGTTCTCCAGTTCCTTTCTAGCCAACAAACATGTGTTAGCTGCCCGCTAAGAGAAAAGACCTGCTGATACACAAGTAGTGAAAAGCAAAGACAGAGCTCAAGTCAAGCATTCTTTTCACTATGCCTCTCAGAGTAGCATAAGACCAAGCCCTGGAAGGTTCATGCCCATGAATCATATAGTTAATACATCTGTACCTTGTTGGCAGAAAAGAGTGTATTCTTTCTATCAAAGCCAAATGTCTTCTGTGCTCTCATTTACTTTCTATAACGAAACCAGAAGAAGTATGACTATACGAGGGCTTTAGATTTAACTCATTAACCACCAACTCTCTCCTGTTTCCTGTCCTGGAGTTCTCGATATTCTGTTTTATTGTTTCTTTTTTACTAATAAGTTTACTTTTATGATTTCAAAATCAAATATGTGAGGAGCATTAGCATTTCAAAGAGTGGATGTTGAATTCCTAAGTGTTTATGTTACAACAAAATAATTACTCTCATTTATCTTTCCAGGTTAACTTTGAAAGTTAGATGTTGAAATCATCATCATTACTATATATATATATATATATAATAAAATACATATTCTACATATCTTCCACTTCGGCCAATGACTACAAGACCTTTTTCCCCCCCTCATAATATAAGCTATTAAAAAGTCTTTGAAGCTATCAAGTATACATATACTCTGGTACTCTTAAGAGAAACTCATTGTTGTTTGGGGAAAGCAGGAACTCATTTCCAATTTGAGCTTTGTCAGTCTCCTCATTCCTTAGAAAACAAAAACTTAGAAAAGGGAGAAGGAAAGAGGATAGAGGCAACCTAAAATGGGCATGTACTACTTAACAGTTCTCCTCCATTCACTTACTACATTTCCTGCCTCTGCAGCTAGCCGGGCAGCATAACGGGCAATAAGTCTGTGTTCTTCATCTAGTCGGCTGGGGCTGTCCAGGACACTGCCAAAGAGACAAAAAGACAATAGATACCCATTAATTATGCCTCACCTTTTCTTTATTCTTGGAAAATTGGGGCATTTTTCTATAGAAGGGAAAAGGGAAATCCTTCTAAAATCAGGATGGTAATTTTAAAAAGAATGTTCAAGTCACAGGTATTATCAGTCCTCTGAGTCAAAAAGGACTTATAGGGGTAGCAGGCTGAGTATTTAGGTCCCATTTAAAAAGTGCTTTGGTTCCTTCTCACTTACCCATTTTGCTGCGGCAATCAGTGGTGGAGCTGCAAGTTTATGTCATTTTACAGAGAAAAGACCTACCACTTGTAAAAACTGAAGAGACATTTTATCAAGATGTTGAGAAATAAGGAGGGCATCAAAGCCCCAAAATAAGTGAGCTCTGAAAACACAGAAACCAAGGAGAAACTAAAACATCATAAATAAAATAAGTATTGAGAAAAAGTAATAATTTACCTCAAGCTAATGAATTTTTCAGGGTCACCTTTTGAATCTCAACTGTTTTAAAACTGACATTTAACTCTCGCATTATATAGAGCACTTCCTGGTCAAAAAGTGAAGTTAGATATTCCTTGTTTTCTCTTTTTAACTTCCTTTTTCTCTTTGAATCTTAGTTCTCTATGCCACAAGTACCCTCTCCTCCAACTTTAATGAGTCATTAATACCTTAATGTGAATTTGTTTAATGTATTCTTCCCAGAAATACGTTTAAAATTTTATTTTTGTTTCTATTCAATCAATTCCCCAAAATTTACCCAAAAGGCCTTCCTATTAAAGTGTTAAGCAAAGTTGCTTCAATCATATTATGATCCCCATTGTTTCATCCATATAAGTATTGTATTAGACTATTAAGGACTATGTCTATGGAATTATCTTTGTATAGCACTTAGCAAAGTGCTTGTCACACAACTTGGAGCTTAAAAATGGCTTTTGGATAAGGGTCTTTTTACATCAGCCTTAGAAATGAACAATAATGATAGCTCGGACTCCTTTCTTACTAGTTCATCAGAAGAGGTTACTATAGAGCTCTTTGACATCCCTTTGGGCTTGATTAACTGGAAAAATCTTTTGCAAAAATCTACTTGCAGACAAAAGATGCAAATCACAAGAAAATACACCTTGATTAGGGACTCCATTAAAAAAGGGCCTATGAGGGTACATACTGGGGTCAATCCAATTCAGCTCAGGGTCCTACAGATCCCATACCCATGGTACAATAGTCACGTACAGTACAGTACACTAACCAAGGTTCAGAATAATGACTACAAGGTTATTACAAGATAATTAACTGCCAAAGAAAAATGCAAGAATGCCCTCCCTACTTTTCCCCTCTGATAGGAAGGAAAAGGAGAGAACCATTTATATTTTTGTTTTGTTTTGTGAGTTGCCAGGACCAAGGCACTACCACCACCTGATGGCAGTTTATGATAATTGCTAATATAAAGTGATGGCAGAAGTCCCTGTTGAAGAAAAGACTAAAAGTCAATAAGAAATATTCTTAAAAGCAAAGTTTAAAGACCTCGAAGAGGGAAAAATAATTATGTTTCAAAACAATCTTTGTACATGCCCAATATATTGAGATGAGAGATGTAGATAGCATATGTTGAGAAAACAGCAAGAAGAGGATCCAGGGCATAAAAAAGTTGGCCTTTTTGTGATTTGTCTTCACTCTTTCTAGATTCTTCCTGTTCCAGTAACAGGACTTGGTTAATGTTGAACTCATTTGTCTTTGGATATCATTCAGAATCTAAAGTTGTTTCAGCAGTATTGTCCAAGTGATTAATCATAACTGATAGGGGAACACCGGTTAATTTAATTTTCTGATTAACTGAGCATTGGTTTAAAAAATCTATTCTGTTTCAACTTTTGTTCTAAAATGAAGTAGTTCACTTTCTTGCCTTAAGTGCAATTGCATTTTTCTCTGACAATTAAGCCTCTTGCAATAACCTTATAGTCATTATTCTGTTTTGGGAGGAGATAGAAAGTTTTTCTATTCTATTGCATAGGGTTTCCTCTTTTTATAATACTACATAGTAACTTGAGTGCCTTCTAGAAAGTATCATGTTGAATTCTTGGTCTTGTTTCTTGGACACCACACCTCAAGAAGAGATGAATTCCCACATGGCTTTTGGCCAGCAGATCCTTGCTCATGCACCCTATATTCTCTAGTCACCAAAGTTAAAGACCTTGGCAAAACCTTCACAAATCTTCCTGAGTTAAGCAGCAGCTTCAGGCCAGCCTTCTAGAATTCTGAAATTATATTGGACCAATGGATAGCAGGGATTCAGTCCTCCCCATGGAGTATAGTGAGATCTTCTTTTCAGTAAGCATAAAAGTTTGGGTCAGAGCTCACAGTGGATATTTCCTAGATGGGTAAAATAATAATAGTTGAAATTTACATAGCAATTTATTGTTTAAAAAGCACTTCTTCACAACAACCCTGTGAGGTAGGTAACATAGATACTTTCAGAATAGGAAACTGAGGCTTAGAGAGATGAAATTACATGCCCAATATCACACAGAAAATAAACAGCAGGGCTGAAATTTCAATCTATGTTTGCAGACTCGAAATGCAGGGCTCTTTCCACTATATCATAGGTACTTCTTTGTGTCACAACCATCAATGATCAAGTCATATTTTTTCTCCTAAAGATATGGGAAAGATCTCCTAAATTTTGTGAAGCTTCAGGGATAGATAAAAGGACAAAAATCAGGGGAATAGATTGCTTCTATGAGACAAAAGGAAACACTATGAGGAGGCATTATGTAGAACTGGCTCTTTGCATCTCAAAACTTGTGTGTCATCCTTTTAGGCAAAGTTGAGGAAAAGAGGACAAAAGTCTGGAGAAAGGCAGATGGGGGACTGCATGGTATGGTTTTTCTCAAGGATCCATGGTTTATTATTGATAAAGTTTCTCAGTAAAGGCCGCGGTGATTTGCTTTTTCAGTTGGCAATCCCAGGAAAAGGAAGACCTCCCTCCCCTTTGTATGCCCAGCTGCTGTTCAAACACTGACCGTGCACAATGCTGTAGACGTGACACATACGAAGCTATCAGTGCATGCTCATCAGCCAAGTGACTGGATATTTCCTGGCTATACTGTAACCTGGGAACAATGGAGGCAAAGACAGCAAGTGTAACACACACACACAAAGAGGGAGAAATAAACATGGATTAACATGGGCAAATGATAGGGAAAAATGGGGAAAATCATAAACCGTAATGAGAAAAACAATTTTAAAAGCACATTGCACAATGGTGACGTTATTAGGATGGGACACTTCACAAATATGTCCAGTGTACCCTGTAGATTAGTTTGGCAGGCTGTACCAAATCATGAGAAGAGCCAATATTACCAGGCTTTTCTAGAATTTTGGGCCCTGTAAAAGATATGCCTCCTAGGAAAGCAGGAAAAGAAAGCTTAGCACTCAGAATGGTGTGGAGAATGGCTGTGTGTAAAACATAAGTAGAAATAATTCCTCTTCATTCAGGTAACAATCCAATTATAAAAGGATGGGGACCAATGATTACTATTGGTCATGTTGGAAAATTTACTTAATTACTTAGGTAACATTTTGAAGAAAATGTTAGGAACTGTGAACCCTTCTATGATTATACAGCTGGCTGGCTGCTAGCTTTGTCTGCTACCCCATCTAGTCTCTCTCAGGGAGATGAAGAAGCATTCCTTTCTTTCCTATAAATTGTTCCACATGCAACCATGGACACATTCAAATGCACACAAGGTGGAGTCTAAAGGGGGTAAATTAATTCTACTATAAGATAAGAAAATCATGGAGAACTACCCTCAGTTGTATGATATTCAATGAATCAACATTAAACATCTATAGTATCACCAAAATTGCACTAGGTGTTGGGGGAGGGGAGAATACAAAGATGAAAAGGAGATAGTCTCTGGTCAAAGAAACTAACATTCTATTAGGGGAGACAACATTGACATGTAGGAAAGAACAGAATACAAGCTAATTTTGTTTGGAGGGAGACTCTAATATTTGGGAAGGGAGTGAGGATAGAAAAAGCCTCATGCAAGAGATAGTACTTAAGCTGAGCTTTGAAGGAAACTGGGGATTCTAAGAGATGGGGGTGAGAAAGGAATACATTCCAGGTGGGAGGGACAATTTCTGCAAAGGCATTGAGAGGGAGATGGAGTGTCTTGGGTGAGAACAACAAGCCAGCCAAGTTGGCTGGACTTTAGAGTATATGAAGGGGTGTGATGTATAATAAAGGTAGAAGGGTAGGCCTGTGGAGGAAAATTGGGCGAAATTACAATGGTGTCAACACTGGAGTAGAATAGTGAGAAAATTTAGAAGGGAGACAACAAGCAAACAAATATATGCTAACAAGCTATATATAGGAAAATAGAAAGTAATGAAAAGAGAGAAGGTATTAGAATTAAGAAGTGTTGGGAAAGGTTTCCTATAGAAAATGGGAATTTAGTTGGTACTTGAAGGCAGTCAGGGAAGCCAGTAGGTAGAGATGAGGAGGAAGGACATTTTAGGTAAGGAGGAGAGTCAATAAAAATGCTGGAGCCGAGAGATGGAGCATCTTGTTAGAGGAACAAGGAGGCCATTATAACTGGATCAAAAAATATGTGAAGGAGAGTAAGTTCTAAGAAAACTGGAAAGGTGTGTAGGTGTGTGTGTGTCCACTGTCAGTGAAGGGCAGCAAAGTTAGCTGCACCATAAACATGGGTTGGAAAAAAGTTGGATCAAAGTACATTCAGTTAGTTCTCCTTCCAGAAGAAATAAGATACCTGTTCTTTCTTCCTCTCTAGAGGCCCCAGTATCTATTCAATCAACAAAGCATTACACCTGCGTGCCTAGGGCATTAGATGTAGGAACAAAAGACCTTTCACACAGAGCAAAGTATAGGCAACTGTCGAGGAGTTTCATAAGATCTTCACGGTAACTGACACCAGTAACTAATTATTTCAGCAGGGTGTTATACTCTTCTCCCCAACCAAAGAACATTTCAAGGCTATGTTCAAAGGATGTTAAAAATCCATGAATTCACAGCACCATTTGGACAATGGTTTAGATAGAAGTGGTCCTGTCATGTGAAATGCATGTAATGCCAAACAAGTTTAGGCTTTTAGTTATTATGAAACAGGGCTGGGTTAGGTCAAGTGGTTGGAGAAAAATGTGTATTAAGCCTTGGCTCAAAAAAAGGAAGATAAAGTTCGCAAAGAATGCAAAAACAAACCTTCCCAATCATAGATTGTGCCCCTAATTTCTATTTTATTTATATAAAATTATATATTATATAGAATATATTAACATATTATATTCTATATAATATATAACATATTTATTATGTAAAATATAATTATATAAATATAATAATATAACTTGTGCCCTAATTCTTTTTGACAAGTACATGCTACACAAAATGCCAAGCTAGTTGTCAATGTGTAACACCCTGCTGAAATAATTAGCTCATTTTAAGCCTAGGAGTTGATAGAATGGCCCCCAAGATCCACATGCTTCCCTTTTCTTCAGCTTTAGGAAATTATGAGATGAAGTTATAAGTATAGCCACAATTGCTCTGAGCCACCAGTTAAGAAAATTTTCAACATTTGGTCAAAGGTTGAGTACTCTGCCTAACTTTATGTCAATCTCTCATTAACCCCCAGGCTCTTTGGTTGAGGCAAAAATTCAGTTTTCTGGAAAAGCTTGGGTAATGAAACAACAGACTGTTATAGTGTCTGTGGTTAGAAAGGCACAGGGAGGAGAAGTTGGGGGGAAAGCTGACCTTTTCCTGCAACTTCACTCCATCAGGGTCTTCTGCACCAAGATATCTGTGGTGCTGATGACTTTCCTCTATTTCTCCTTTGGGTTATGACTCAGTTCTACTTTTGCTCTATAGGAGTTGGCTGGAGTACTCTCCAACCTCTCAAAATCTATCCCTCATCAACCCATTTGGTAATTTATAGGTAATCTCTGGGGTATGACCAAATTTCCTTGGACTTTATGAATACAGTTTTTGTGCAGTGTCACTACAGCTTGAAGGACGTGATTTTTGTTATTCTTTCTATATTTACTTTGCCCTCAGGCTCTCATATGTCTGGAAGGTTTTCAATTATGACTTCTTGAAATATATTGTATAGCCTTTTTAAAAATCATGTTTTTCATAAAGTTCAATGATTCTTAAAATATCTCTCCTTGGCCTATTTTATAGGTCTGTTGTTTTTATATCATATATCTTATATTCTCTTCTATTATTTTAATCTTTTGATTTTGACCTAATATTTCTTATTGGCTCATACAGTCACTGATTTCCACTTGATCTAGTTTAGTTTTCAGAAATTCCATTTAAGATAAAGGTTTGCCCCTTTCTCTTCTAAGCTACTTACTCTACTTTTAATTCTTTCCTGAAGAGCTTTATTTTTTCTTTGCTTCATTTCTTCTAAATATCCATGTAGTACTTCTGAAAAATCCATTTTTCCTTTGAATGTCTGCTTGTTGTAGTTATGGAGTCAAACTTGCAATAATTTGTAATACAATACCAGATAGTGTTTTATTTGACTTTTTCACTTCTCCAGCTTTAGTTCCTGAATTGGGGCTTTGTGTCAGGGCTAGGTTATGCCCCCTGCTAGACTTCTGGATGTAGTGATGGACTCTGCTTAGTCTCATCCCAGGTCACTTGTGCTCTTGCACTGATCTCTTCTACTACATTGGTTTGGTCCTCTACACCTTTTGAACTTCAGAGCACTAGGTTTCAGGACCTTCTCTATCAGCTCTGGACAAAGTTTTAAAAATTTCAGAGCCCTAGGCCACGGATGTCCCAGTATGAATACTGCAGCACTGAGCTGGTCATTCCAGTCAATGCTTCCCAAGGAAGTCCTCTGCTCTTGCTGCTCTTGGACACAGAGCCTTGCAGGCTACATATGCCTTGTCTTGGGTTGCTCTGGGAGGCCATGGAGTTAATCTGGCTGGAAGAGGGGAGCTCTTTTCTCTGGGCTGTGGCCTTTTGGCTGTTTGTGCTCTTCTGTGGTGGAAGATATTACTGTAGTCTCTCATTGGATTTCTTGATCATTATTTGATCTGGTGCCAACTTCAAGGTTTTGCTGAAAGAATTAAGTGGGAGCTGGACAGCCTACCTCCCATTCAAGCAACCATTTAGAGTTCTATTATAATAGTTTAATTGAGAGGTGAAAAGACCTGAAGTAAAACTGTGGCTTTATCAGTGGGGAAAAAAAGGAGATGTTATAGAGGTAGAAATAATAATTAGCAGTTTATTGAATATATGGGGTGAGGGTAAGGAGTCAAAGATGACACCAAGGTTTGCAAGTCTGGGTGACTGAGAGGATAGTGGTACCCTTGACAATTCAAGGGTGGCAGGACAGCTAGGTGCGCAGTGGATAGAGCACTGGCCCTGGATTCAGCAGGACCTCAGTTCAAATCCGACCTCAGACACATAACACTTACTAGCTGTGTGACCCTGGGCAAGTCACTTAACTCCACTGCCTAGCCCAAATAAAACAAAACAGGACAATTCAAGGGTGGAAAGGGAAACACTTTGAGTTCTGTTTTGGACATGTTGAATTTAAGATGCATATAGCATATATAATCCTAGAAGTCTGAGACTAGAGCTCAGGAGAAAAATTCAGGCTGAAAATGTACATCTGGGCATCATCCATAGTAATGATAACTGAATCCACTGGAGATGATGAAATCACCAAATGAGATAGGTTAGGGTTAAGAAAAGAAGGGTCCCAGAACAGAGCCCTAGGGGACACCCATTATCAGCAGACATGACTTCAGCACTAGACCTGTGCTTACATTGATGCAGAGCTCTCTCAGATGAAGATACCCAACCAGTGCAATCTGGCACCTTCTCCACAACTTACATCTTAGAGAATTGCCTAGACCCGCAGAAGTAGGGAACGTGTGGCCTCGAGGACAGACGTAGCCCTCTAGGTCCTCAAGTGCAGCCCTTTGACAGAACATTCTATGAAGTGTGAATTCAGTCAAAGGGCCACACTTGAGGACCTAGAGGGCCACGTGTGGCCTCAAGGCTACAGCTTCCTCACTCCTGGCCTAGGGCATTGAGAAGTTAATTGGTTTTCACCAGGATCATAAAACCAAT